AACTGAGAGACAAAGCTAGTTTTATTAAACGAGCAATATTAAACTATTCTTTGTCAAAACATTACCTAAATGATAAAACTTGAATTATTAAAACACTTGGGTTTCTACATTCTTAGGAGTTTTAAGAATGTTTAATTTATATAAGCACCTAATTATCTCTAAGCCATTTAAGATAGAGCTCCTTTAAGATGAAAGTTAGTTTGGCAATACCATCTGGAGATAGAAAGCTATTACATAAATGCACATCAATACACAAACAGATTTAAAAAGAGATCTTGTGGCTTTAATTCTAAAATTTTTAGCCATGAGTCAGGGTTAAACACAGAAACGCAAATCTTGCTGTTTCATTTTTTTTAAGTTGGTTTTTTGCCCCACCTTTAAATTTTTACTAGAATTACGTCTGTGGCAGATGGAATAAGTTGTGGTTAGTTGCTCAATAGGAGGGCTAAAGCATACCACCCGTTTTTAAATGTGGCATTTTAGTCCTGTGTAATTTTATGGAGGCTGTGAACTAAATTTTGGGTGAGGGGCAGAGAAACATCAAACAGCCATCAGGGTTTCTCCAAATCTGAGTAAATAAAATATCCAGAGTGTTTCTAATTAGAATGTTCACCCTCAGTTTTTTGCTTTGGGGTTCCTGAATCCCTGGAGAGCACCCAAAGGGGGCAGGGGCAAAAATATCTAGTGACTATGGGCAGTTGAGAAGCTGAAGTTGGAAGGGAAAGGTCTGGAGAGGTGCATAGAACGATGAGGGGAGTAGGGGTGTGGAAGGGAGACAGAGAAAAGGATTCAGAGGAATTGAAGGGAAGGTCTAAGAGGTGGTAAAAAGGAGGAAGAAGGACCAGGGATGAGAGGAAGGGAGAAATCTTAGGTGAGCCAGTTTGGGGAGAGCTCCATTTTCCCAAAGAGGCTATTAAAGTTAAAATTTTGCCAATTTTGGAGATATTGAACTGAGTTAGTTCTGTCATACTGAAGCATGTAGTGAGCAGGAAGGAGAAGGGGGGTATTAGCAGATAGTTAAACGAAAGAGAAAAAATTTTCACAGGGCCAGGAAATACTCTTACTTGTTTTAAGTTCCCACACTCCCTGGGTCTGAGGGCCAAGAACACCCCACTCAATCTCCAGGTTCAGAAGCCTAAGGACCTCCATCCTTGAGCCAAGGCAACCCTTCCCTGGGATCTCTGAGATCAAAGAGCAGAGAGAACTGCCCAACCCCAGCTCCCACCCTGAGAGCAATCTCTGGAAAAGAGTGTGAGGGAACCCCCCTCAGTCTCCCAGTTCATAGAGCCTAAGAGCCCTCCTTGCAATTTCTGCGGCCAGAGAGACCAAGGAAACCTTCCCCAAATCTCCCAGATGGAGAGCTGATATAACCTCCTATGCAGTTTCTGGATTCAAAAGACCTCCCCCTCCCTAGACCCTCTCCCAACATCTGGGTTTGAAAACCAAAGATAGTCCTGTTCAGCCTCCTGGGAGGGAGCGCCAGGGAACCCTTCCCCCACCCATGCCATATCTGGAGTAGGGTGGAAGGGGGGAAAGAGGCCTCACAGAAGGGTCAAAGCAAAGTCTTTTTGCCAGAAGAATCAAAGTAACCCCTTATTATCATGTCACAAGTAACAACTATCAGGTCACTGCTGGCTCAGGGGTCTGTGGGAAGCAGAGGAGCTAAACCAGATTTTGGTAATAATCACTCTACTCTGTTCCTACTTATTGATTAGTGGAAATGAAGCAAAGAAGGGACATTTGGAGGGTCCTTGTCTAGTCTTGTCAGACATAAACAACAGGGGCATTCCTGAGTCATATGGGGAAAAGGGGGTTGTGTGAGTTTGCCCAGTCTGCCATACAAGACTGGGTGGCACAACACTGGAAATGGGTGGTCTCATAATTTTTGAGGCCAGAGGTTGGAGATTAAGATTTGGTTGCTTCCTTCTGAGGGTCACGGGGTTGAGCGGGGGTGGGGGTGAGGGGTGGGGGGTGGGAGAAGAGTATTCAGGGCTCTCTCATTGGCTTGCTGATGGCCTCCTCTTCCTGTGGCTCTTCACATCATCTTTCCTTTATGTGTGTCTATTTATCTTTGCACCTAAATGTCCCCTTTTTATAAGGATACCAGTTGTACTGGATTGTGGTCCACTAATAACCTCACTTTACTTTAATTCCATCTCTAAAGACCGTGCCTCCAAATCAGGCACATTCTGAGACAATGGGGGTTAGGACTTCAACATACAAATTTTGGTAAGGATGCAATTCAGCCATAGCAGTTCCTTGCAATAAGTTATTTTTTTAGGACATAAAAGGACAGATTTCTTTTTAATGAGTTAATTTAAAAATATTTTTCTTGATTTCAGAGAGAAAGGGAGAGGGAGAGAGAGATAGAAACATTGATGAGAATCACTGATGGCTGCTTACTGCATGTTCCACACTGGGGATGGAGCCCATGATCTGGGCATGTGCCCCGACCAGGAATTGAACTGTGACCTTTTAGTTCATAGGTTGACGCTCAATCACTGAGCCATGCTGGTCGGGATAGATTTCTTTAACTATCGCTCTTTTCTAGAATCACAGGATTCAAGGGAGTTCAACATTGTCAGCAAGCCATGAGGAAGGAGCGGGGCAGCCGGAGGTGTTTGCTGCCGATGTGCTCCAAGGAAGGATTTGCTCTGGGCTCCAGGAGGAGAAGGTGGCATCTAGAGGGGGATTGTGGCCTTGAGAAGCGGCCCCTAAATGATGGGCTTTGGGTAGGGAAAAGCTCATTGGGCAGAGGGGGCTCACGGGCACTGGCTATGGGGGAATGTGGGGTGCAGAGCAGCAGGGGACCTGGACTTGTACCCCAAGTCTGAGGAACTGGCTGGCAATTACCTGGGCTTCAAACCTTGTACTTTAGGCTCCAGGTGAAGGAGCCGGGGCAATAGTGAGAAAAGACAACCGGGGGGGAAAACTCACACTAATCTCTTTGTAAATACTCTCCCTCTGGGGGAAGAGGACAAAAGGCTGGAAGGGGTGGCCTCTAGGGGCCAAGTGGCAGGCAGGGACCTCTCTTTTCTGTGTCAGCCCAGAAGGAAGTGAGCTGGTATCCAGGACCCAGGAGCTAGCCCTCCTCCTGTCAACTCTCCACAGGAGGGGTGGGAAAGTGGCTACCAACACACAGTTCTAGAAGGATTCCAAACACACCAATTGCCCAACACACACGCACCCTCACACCTGTTCCCCATTCTTTTCTCTTCAGCCAGCATGCACCCGTATGCCCACAAATATCCCTCTGAGGCTGTACCGATGCTGGCCACTTTTAGAGGGCAGGAATAGGCTGATCATGGAAGGGTAGGCAGGCATGCAGCCCCACCCTGGAGTCCAGCACCTGGCAGGGGTGTCCAACCTCACTCCCGGGCCCTTCTGTGGCCAGCTGGTCTCTGGAACTGTACCCCTGACCTCTCTGACCCATATGGGCACCCTGAGCCCCCACACCTCTGCCAGGAATCCTATGGCCGCTGGCCTGCCTGCTGTCCTTTCCCTTCCCTTCAAAGTCTAACCCACCTATTCCTGATGGATCCCAGAGCTTCCTGGGGATGCAAACAGATACCCTCCTGTGCTCACACGTTCCTGCCAACTACGCCATCCAGCCCAGAAGACTTCACAATCCTCAAGGACAATCCTCTACCACATCCCAGTGCTGACTTGGGAGTCCCAGGCCATCATTGTGCCTCAAACCCGCGCCCAGCACACCCTTTTCTCAATTGCGCGCAGCAGAGGCGAATCTCTGATGTAACATTTAAGGAAATTTATTGAAGAAAAACATTTACTGAATCCACTGGGGAAAAAAGGAATTAACAACAAAAAAGAACTTCGAACAGCCACTAGAGTACATAGTTCACACGCTTTCCTCCTGGAGTCCCTGAAAAGGGGCCTCAGCTTCCTACCACACACGGCCTTCCCACCACAGTCTCCTTCCCTGAGGGCCCCACCATCGTCTTTGCAGGATAATGGACACTGGTGGTGTCCACTCAGTGCAGGGCTCCCTCCCCTTCTGGATGACACGCTGGAGCCTGGCCCTGCCCCAGGTCTGTTCAGGTAGCAGATGTCTTCAGGTGCCCCTCATTTAGGCCTGGGAAGGCTGCTCAGGAGTGCTCCCAGGCCGGCTGCCCAAGGTGGCAAGGTCTGGGGCCGAGGCTGGCCTTGTCATTGGTGGCTGCTGAGTGGTGGGTGGTTCACCAGGCCAGTTCCCGTTTTTCTGCCTGCTTGCTCCATACCTCCAGTGGCCCTGCATAAACAAACAGAACAAAAAACTGCCCCTCCCAATAACCCCCCCCTCCTCTGCTTACCTCCTGTTCTCCTCTGTGGGAACCCTTAACACGACCCGCGTGATTAGGGCCCACTCTCCTCCTCTTCTCCTGCTCACCTCCTGCTACTCTCCTCCTCTCCTGCTTATCTCTTGTTCTCCTCCTCCTCTTCTCCTGCTCACCTCCTGTTACCCTCCTCCTCCTCACCTCCTGTTATCATCCTCCTCCTACTTAGCTCCTGTTATCCTCCTGCTCACCTCCTGTTATCCTCCTCCTCTTCCTCTCCTGCTCACCTCCTGTTATCCTCCTCCTCCTCTCCTGCTCACCTCCTGTTATCCTCCTCCTCCTCTCCTACTTACCTCCTGTTATCCTCACCTCCTGATATCCTCTTCTTCTGCTCACCTCCTGTTATCCTCCTCCTCTCATGCTCTTCATTATCCTCCCCTTCCTCCTCCTGCTCACCTCCTATCCTCCTCCTCTGCTCTCCTCCTGTTCTCCTCCTCCTCCCCTGTTCAGATCCTCTCCTCCTCCCCCCCTCCTCCCCCCCTCCCCCCCTCCCCCCTCCCCCTTCTCCCCCTCCTCTTCTTTCCCCTCCTCTTCTGTTCACTCCTGGTTATTCTCCTAGTTTTTCTCCTCCCCCTCCTCTCCTGTTCACTCCTGGTTATTCTCCTCCTAGTTTTCCTCCTCCCCTCCTTCTCCTCTCCTCATGCTCCCCCATTCTCTTCCTGCTTTAGAACAAATCCCCCTCCTCTCCCCTCCCACCCCAACCAGCTGTGGTCCTAGTCCAAGTCCCCATCCCCCTGCAGGCTGAGCCCAGGCTGTCTCCCAGGGCTCTCCTCTCAGTCTCTGCCCTCCTGCCCCCCATAGCCTTTCCAGGCTGCAGAGGGAGGAAATGCCTGCAGGCTGGGGCCGGGCTGTCCTGGTCTCACTTGCGCAGGGGCTCCAGGGTGGTGCCTTCGTGGGGCTTCCCCAGAGCAGTGTAGATAATCCTGAAGACGGGCTGGACTCTGCGGCCTCCCTTCCGGGGGGTCACCACCCCATTCCCACCACACGGCTCTTCCTCAGCACCGGTGCTGGCTGCTTCTGGCAGGGGTGGCCCCGGGGAAGGTTCTTCTGGGCTTGGTGGGGCCCATGGGCCTGTGGGCATTCTTAGCTCTGAGTTCAGCGGGTGGGCATTTGGGGGAGGCCAAATGACCGGGCCCATGCCTGAGTGCTCAGCTGTAACTCCTTCAGCCTCTGCCATGGTGGGGCCCCTGCTCACGGCTTGAACACCCCATGTGCTGGGTGAGGTGGCCGCTTGCTTGTATCGCTGGTAACTATTCGGGAATCTATGCTTGCCTTTCCTTGAGGGGAGGTTGGCCTCATGGGTGGGGTCACATTCAGCTGCTGGAGAATGAGGGGGCTTGGTTTGTGCCTGACTGCCCTGCCCCTCTGCCCCATTCAAATACTCTGTTTGCACGAAATGCCCCTTCCCCTTGTTAACATTTCCCTGCTGCCCGCTAGGGGAAAAGGTGCCTGGATTCTCTGAGCCTATGCTGCCTAGGGCTCGGGGTGGCTCACGCCCCCAGCCCCCATCTCGTTTCCCGACTCTTCTTCAAGCTGAGGCCTCTCCCTTTCTGGTGATGACGGTTCGTCCTTAATGCATGTGTCCTCTTCGCTATTGAGGCGGGGCACTTTCCTGCGCCTAAATGACACATTGCTAATCACTTCCTGGGTGGTCTGAGTGCTGCTATCGCAATACTGCACTGCCTGCTGGGGGGCCTGAGGTGCGGACTGAGTGACTTCCTCCAGCGCCTGTCTGCTGGAAGGACTGCGGCTCCTTCCCGCCAGCTTTTGCTTCTGCTTCAGCACGGCCATGGTGACTTCCCACTCCTCTTCATCTCGAACGAGCTTCATTAACTCTAGGAAAGTGGGAGGACACCCTCTCTGATCCAGGAGCTCGAGCTTGCCGCGGAGGGTGCCGCTCAGGTTGGTACGAGACAGGACGTGTTTCAGGCGAATCATATCTGTGCTCCGCGCTGACGCGGGGTTGTGCTGCAAGGCTTTTTGCAGCAGCGGCTCCAGGCGCACCAAAAACACCGAGATTTTCTCTCCGATCTTCTGAACGGTCTGGAGGAACTTGAACTGCGAGGTTCTGGAGTCCTCTTTGCTGCCAAAGATCTGCTTCAGGGTGTCCAGGCATTGCTCTGCGGTCATAGAGTCATTGTTGGCCCGGAGCACCCGCATGATGGACAGGGCGGGGCCACGGAGGCTCTCCAGCAGCCTCCGTATCTTCTCTGCCTCGCACACTTGCCAGACCTGCATCACCTCAGTGACCTGCTCCAGCCAGACTTCAAAGTTTTCTTCGCCCGGGCCTGCAAAGACATTTCCTGAGAACATTTTGATTTTCCGGTACCACATGCTTTCTTTCTGAGGCTGAAAACCTCTGGATTTGTCTAGGGGAGCGTCGCCTGGCTCCTGGTACTCAAAGGGAGGGGCGTACCCCAGGGCACGGACCACATCTGCCATCTTCCGGCCCTCGTCCTTCAGGAAGCAGCTCAGTCTAGTGATGAATTCATCATCTGGGTTACGGGGTTTCACCACCACTTCCCAGGCACCCCCTTTTCCTGGTATCTGATTGGGTGTCTTGGCGTAATTGACAGTTTCTCCCAATTCGATGATGACCGCCTTAGCATTGTCTTGCCTTCTGAACATTTTTCCCAGCACCCTGTATGGGCACACGGGCTGTAAGCCTGCCCTGATAGTCTCTTTAATTTCATTCTCAGTGCACTCCACGGGGATCCCCACAATCAGCAGGGCCTTCCTGGGGTCCAGGTCCATCCCCTTGCACCAATCCTCTAACAGTGTCAAGGCCATTGCTCTAACTTTCTAGGGACTGATCTAACGCTAGGGGTAGTACTCTGCTATAGACTTGGTCAGCTCTGAACCAACGGCAAGTACAAAGGCAGAAGAGTCCCGGGTGTCCACAGCCTGTAATGCAAATGGGGTGAAAGCATCATTATTGCCCACTCCCACCCTCCCCAGCAGCCCCTCTTCTGCCCCAACCTCCACTCACAGGGATTCAGTCCCGGCCTCCCAGGCCCCCCTAATCATGTGGTGGTATGAAGAGTATAGAGGGGTCCCCCTAGTCGAAACTCCCTCCACCTCATGGCTTCCCTACTGACCTCCTGCTGTGGGTTCTTCCTCAAAGTCTAAGGACTCTGCCACAGGAGCTGCAGATGCCTGCGGTGAAAAGGCAGCATTAGGAGGCGGGGCCTGGCGCCTGAGGACCCTGACAAAGCCCTCCAAGCGGGAGACCAGGAGAATATCCCACTCCCTGGCACAAGGATGTACAGGCCCGGGGCACCTGGCACCCTCTTTTTCAGGGCAAAGGTGGGAGGAGGGAAGTGCGGAGTTCTCTTTGCAGTAAATGCCCAACAGCAGGAAGATGGCTGGAGTTCTACACAATGCAATTGAACTACTGGGTGTGGAGAGCCGGGGAGAGGTACAGTGTTGTCATGGATACCAAGAACAGTGGGGAACACGGGTGTCATATGGTAAGGTTAAGACCCTCTAGGAGCAACAGGTGATGTCCCTGGCCTCCAACCAATAAAGTTTCTAGCAACAAAAAGGGTTTGGGGGAGTGAGGTGTGTGTGTGGGGGGGGAGGGGTGAGCAGCAAGGATTCAGTGCTCAAAAATCAAGAGCTTATGACTTTGTTTTTACTTTTTTTTAATATATTTTATTGATTTTTTTACAGAGAGGAAGGGAGAGAGATAGAGAGCTAGAAACATCGATGAGAAACACATCGATCTGCTGCCTCCTGCACACCCCCCACTGGGGATGTGCCCGCAACCAAGGTAGATGCCCTTCACCAGAATCGAACCCGGGACCTTTCAGTCCGCGGGCTGACGCTCTATCCACTGAACCAAACCGGTTTTGGCAAGAGCTTATGACTTTAAATTGCATAGGAGCTAGAATCAGAAAAGGGACCCAGAAAAGGTCTTCAGTGCCACACTGCGGGAGACAGACAACTGTCCCTCTAGTTGTGATTCTAACACGGAAAACAGGCAGCCCCGCCTCCTCTTGCTCCTTGCAGGGTTACAGAAACCCTTCCCCACATAGGCCCCCATCACAGTTGCTCACCAGTCAGAGTAGCGTCCTCCGACAGCACAGATGCGGGGATTCCACCCACAGTCAACGTTCAGCTTTCCAGTTCTGTCCAGTCCAGCAGCTCCTGCCCCGAGGGCAGGGAGTACGGCTCCACTCAATCTGTCCCAAGAAAAGGCAGAGGTGTTTCGCTAGGGTTCTGAGCCATGTGTCCCTGCTCAGGCTGTACCCATTCTGAGTCTACCAAGCTGTCCATAAGTAGCCGGCTGCAGGGATACAAGAAACTGCTCTCTCAGGGCCACCGCTACAGCAGAAGTAATCCTACTTTAAGGTTATCTATCGCCCCACCCTCAAGTCCGCCCCCACTCCGCCCATATACCCACCCACTGTCATGCCCCACCCCCAACGAAGCTCAGCCTCTCAACCAAGGCCCACCCAGCAATCCCCGCCTCCACCAAGTTCCATCTCCACTGTTCAAGTGTCACCCGCCCCCACCCATATCCTACTCCTGCAACTCACTTTCCATCCCTCTCACGGCTTACCGTCATCAAGCCCCATACCCACCCAACCCACTAATCAGCTCCAGCCCCACAGAAGCTCAATTCCCTGTCCCCACACAACTCCTACCCCTGCCGAAACCAGTTTGGCTCAGTGGAGAGTGTCGGTCTGCATACTGAAAGGTCCCAGGTTCAATTCCGGTCAAGGGCATATACCTTGGTTGTGGGCACATCTCCAGTAGGGGGTGTGCAGGAGGCAGCTGGTCGATCATTCTCTCTCATCGATGTTTCTAGCTCTCTCTCTCCCTCTCTGTGAAAAATCAATAAATTATATTAAAAAATAACAACTCCTACCCCTGCCACTCATGTTCCACTCCTTCCTAAATCCACCACCACCAAGCTCCACCCCACCCATGCACAAGCCGACACTAAGCCCCATCCCTTCCCAAGCCACGCCCTACCAATTCCCACTCCATGTAAGATCCTTGAAGCTAAGCCCCACCCCACGCATGTCCAATTCCTGACGACAAGCCCCACCTCCTCCCAAGCCCCGCCCCACCAAGCCCCACCCCACGCATGTGTAATTCCTGACGCCACACCCCACCAAGCCCCACCCCACGCATGCGCAATTCCTGACGCTAAGCCCCATCCCTCCTCAAGCCACGCCCCACCAAGCCCCACCCCACGCATGCGCAATTCCCGACGCCACGCCCCATCCCCTCAAGCCACGCCCCACCAAGCCCCACCCCACGCATGCGTAATTCCCGACGCCACGCCCCATTCCCTCAAGCCACGCCCCACCAAGCCCCACCCCACGCATGCGCAATTCCCGATGCCACGCCCCACCCCCTCAAGCCACGCCCCACCAAGCCCCACCCCACGCATGCGCAATTCCTGACACCAAGCCCCATCCCTTTCCAAGCCTCGCCCTATCAATTCCCACCCCATGCAAACGCAGATGCCAAGCCCCACCCCTTCCCAAGCCACGCCCCACACAAACGCCCTGATGCTAAGCTCCACCCCCAGAGTTCAGTCTCTGCCCCCACCCAAGTCCTCCTCCTGCAACTCATGTTGCAATCATCCCAAACCCTTCCCCCACTTAAACTGCACCCCCACCCAAACCCTGCCCCCACGTAAATCCAACTTATATTCCCAAGCCTCCCATTCCTATTCCCCTATGCTCCCCACCCCCACCCGAGGATGCCCCTCACCCCTTTCACACCGCGTACTTCAAACACGTCTATTCTGGTCAGTGGATTTGGGGCGAGGTCAGGTGAAGAAGGGCCAAAGCCACTTTCCCTTTAGGGCCAGGGCCGGAGCCATTTGTCCTGGATGTGCGGAGTGCTCTGGCTCTGGGAAGGGTTGGGTTCTGCAGTTCTCAGGCTAGTCACTATGCCTCGAAATGCAAGGAGCCAGTGGGGTGCTAGGCCTAATCTCATGGTATCCCTCTTCGGAGGAAACCTATAGCCAAAGGCCCCTGGGATGCCAAGTCCGACTGCAAGGATCATCGGGTGGGAGGAGGAGAAGTCCTACGGTTTGGGTTGCTCTCGGGGTCCAGGGCCTCACCCCTTACCTGCTGGATATCCGTGCAGGCCGGAGATCCGTGCAGGCCAGAGGAGATCCGTGCAGGCCGGAGTGCCGGAGCACCGCAGCCACGAGGTGCTGCTGCGACTGCTGCCGCCGCCGCCGCAATGCACACTGGGCAGGGGGGCAGAAGGCGGGAAGAAGTTATGAAGTGCATGCACACGGCACGCTCGCGGCTGCGCCCTAGCAACCTGGACACCTCGAAAGGCGGGACTCCTTGAAAGAGGGGGGGGGGGGGGCCGCAGGGGGTCCTTGTCCCTGCTCCTGTCCCCGCTGTGCCTGTGGGTAAAGAGTTCAAATCAAGCTGCGGGCAGTGTACTGCAGCCTCGGGTTAGCTACCAGCTGACCACCAGGCCGGCCACATGGGCATACCAGGCCCAGGAATCATTTAGGGGATCGTGTTGCACTGCAGCCATTGAAACGGAAGTTAAAGTGTGTTGGTCTCCCATTGGCTCCCCTTAGTTGAATGACACAATCAGTGGGCTCAGTGCCGGGTGCAAAAGTAAAGCCCCCTACTCCCCCCATCGCTCTTTCTAAAAAAAAAAAAAAAGTCCCGATCCCTGTGTTCTTGTGCAGTGTTCTAAGCGAGCGTGGCAAAAAATACAGCTGCTGCCTGCCTTTTACGAGGGCAGGAACAATGTTAGAGTTCACCAAGAGACAAAACGATCATGGGTTCCATCATTCCGCCATTATTCTCTTGACTTCGAGAGCCAGCATCACCCGCGTAGTATCCGAACTGCTTCCCGCCCTTTTTGGAAGGCGGTTTCTTCCACTGCGGGCAGACTGGAAGCACCATTTTTTTTCCCCAGGACCCAAATGCTCTGGTCCGAAATGGGCGTGAGTGGAGTACAGGGGGCGCGATGGAAGGTGTGTACAAATCTCCGGCAGATCTTGGTAAAAATGCAGATCCCACTCCGGACGATGGGGTGGAACTAAGAATCTGCAAGCTCCTCCAAACGGGGCGACTCCAGAGCTGCCGATCCCCGCGGGGCTTTGGGTACGAAGGCTCAGAAACCTGTAACTGCTTTTCAGGACCAGCAATTGGGGCCTTTGGTGACAGAATAGATTTCTCTTCCCTTGTTAGGAATGCAAAAGAACAGGTTTTTCTATAATGTTTTAATTAAAAAAAAAAATTTAAGCCTTAGGTGGTTCGGCTCAGTGGATAGAGCGTCAGCCTGCGGACTAAGGGGTCCCTGGTTCGATTCCGGCCAAGGGCACATGCCCCGGTTGTGAGCTTGATCCCCAGTAGGGGGCATGCAGGAGGCAGCCGATTGATGATTCTCTCTCATCATTGATGTTTTTGTCTCTGTCTCTCTCCCTCTCCCTCTCTAAAATCAATAAAATATATCTAAAAAAATATTTAAAACCAACAAAAGTTTATTTATTTTTATTTTGCAACTACAGTTGACATTCAACATTATATTAGTGTATTACTTTCAGGTGTTTAGCATGGTGGTTAGACATTTATATAATTTATGAAATGATCCTTCCCCCTCCCCCATATAAGTCTAGTACCCACCTGGCACCATACATAGTTATTACAATATTATTGGCTATATTCCCTATGCTGTACTTTACATCCCTGTGACTATTCTGGAACTACTGATTTGTACCTGACTGAAATAAGTCAGAGAAAGATAATTACATTATATCATTTATCTGTGGAATTAAAATAAATAAATAAATAAATAAATAAATAAATAAATAAACAAAGCAGAAACAGCCTCATTGATACAGAGAACTGTATGTATCTCTTTCAAGACCCGTGTGGAAAGAGTTCCATTTCAGGGTTCAGGTTCTAGAAAAGGGCCGCACACAAATGAAGAGACTTGAAGGAATTCAACTTGGCGAT